CCCCCCCCCCCCCCCCCCTCATCTTTCTCGAGAGCTCAAACAGAACAGCTTGCTAGCCCTCAACAGCCTCGTTCCAGTTTCAACACGGGCGAGGAACGTAGCCACCGCGGGGCTCAGAGTGACGCGACCTCGCACACACACACACCAACTCTTCAACTCTTCGTGTGTTTTACATTCTTGCACCGTTTTTGTCTCTCTTACGTGGCCCACTTCCACGTCAACACGAGAAAGCGAGCACGGACGAAAACCGTTTGACCCTACAACACGAAAGTTTTCATCTCCAGGGTTTCGCCACAACCGCAGCGCACATCGCAAGCACGCGCCGCCAACATCACTGACCTCTTCTCAGCCAGAGCGTACAGCATCACGCCGTCGCCGGTCCCCTCGGTGCCTTCCAGAGAGCCCGCGTAGAACCCCCATCCTTCGTCCCAGGCGTGGGGCCCCCCGTCGTTGGCGTTGAGGTCTGCGGGATAAGTATATTAAAGTAGACACGTAGATATGTGTGTTAGGTTACCACAAATGGTTGCCGGCAGCCGGCATTGCCGAGTGCAGGGGAGAAGCGGTTGGGGTGCGCTGGACATAAACAAGGGATCGATCTACACAGCAGCAGGTGGCGCACACACAAGGCGGCGAACGCCGCCACGCTGAGAGGCAAACGATTTTCAGGCACGTGTTCCTGTTATGATACGCACGTACGTTCTGGCTTGCCGGACGGAAAGTAACGTCGAAGCCTCGACATCTCAAGTGGTACACTTCCGTTTTTCGAGGAGGACGGCCTCAGAGAACCCAACCTGCACGCCAAGAAACTCACGGGGAGAACTGCTAGCAAGCGAGCGTCGGTTGCTCCTGTCTTGCGACCACGGCCTACACTTGAGCGATAAAGGATTGGGTGGAGAGGCGAAAACTTGACGAAAACGAGAGGAAGGAATTCTCACTTCCGATATCGCAGTCTTCGATCGCATCCTCGAGCTCGTGGATAACGTACATCCACACGTTTTGGTACCTGGTCGGAGGCGAAACGTTTCGGGAGAGAAATGGACGCGGGCACGTCGGGTGGGCAGGATGAGGGGAGGGGCTAAGTTTCGTGGACTGGGGACCCATGGCAGCGACTTGCCGTTGACTCAAAACCACACACGAACGAAACCCAGCTCGACAATCTCTACAGGGATGTATCATATGAATATCGCGTTTGCGTAATCAACCAAAGGCGCGCTCGGACGCAATTGTTGGATATACGTGAAAATTCTACCCGCGCGTCACCTGGCGGTTGGTTCAAATCAGTTAGCTTCATGACGCACCCCTCGATGTGGTCGAACCTTATATGAGGCCGCTTTGTCAGACGCTCTCGAAGAGGTGAAATGGGTTGTTATTGTTGATGTCTTCAAAACCGTTCCGACCTCTCTATACTTATGTCCAGTACTTCAATCCGTGCGTACTTGTACTGGCCTTGATAACAACGAGCGAGTAATGTCGAATTAACCCGGTTTCCCTCCACTCACTGCAAAGACTCCAAGACGACTGCTCACCGTAGTTTTATGTACGCGTATGTATCTTGAACAGGTAACAAGGCAAGTATGACCTCACAGAATGACTACCCGTTCGAGGTCTAACCTCAGTCGACAGGGATGTGGCGATTTCTTTTCAATATAAGGCCGAGTCTTGCGGCTTTTGATTATTTTGGAGATTTTTTTTCTCTCGGTCGGTGGGGGGTGGTCTGCAAGGGAAAAATTATCTGGATCCGAACGAACTTTTGAAACCGACTGGAGACTTTTTATTGTTCCTACTGCATGACTCACTGTGCCCCCTTGACGCATCCTTCTGCCCTCGTCTCGACCGAGGCGTCATCGAACTGCTCGGTGCCGTTGCAGGCGCCCGATGTGAACTGGTCGGCGTAGTCGGTGGAACCCCAGTAGGCTTCGTATACGTCGAACCACTTCTCACCCGAGAGCTTCTCCTGGGCGCCCGTGGAGAAGCCCTGAATAGTGCGGATAGAGTCGGTCTTCTCGCTGTATTTTCGTCGTTCGGCGAGCGAGCACGGAACGCATCAGTCGAGAGGCGGCCGGGTGGTGGTGGTTAATTAAACATTGCCGTCTTTGCGCCAAACCTCCACAACTGACCGGAACAGCTATAGGTAAAGGACACTCGCTACACTGCTGTTGTGATTCCATAGTTCCATAGGTAAAGAACCATCGGTGGCATCGATATGCTCTGGCTATGTAAGACGACTAGTGCTGTCGACGGCCGTAACATCTTCAATACTCAAATGTTGGTTCAGTTCGTCGAATTTTCGTGGTCCTATTATTCTTTTTTTTTTTTTTTCTTAATATGACACCACGAAGCCATCTCCATCATAGAAAAGAGTCTGAGACAGATTAGCAATGGATTCATAGCGTCAGAAAAGTACCTGTTTTTGTATGTACATGGGTACAATACTGCGTACAGTGAAGTTTATTTTTCTGTAGCGCGTGCCCTTTACGGGGGTAGTTGGCCTGTGACCACGGAAGGCGTGTGCGCCAGTTAGACATTAGCCGGTGTCTAAGCGTGCTGGGAAGAGGCCGGAGCGAGTTTGGCGCGAAGACAGCACCAAACACCACCAACCAAAACAACATTTTCGTCTTCAAGACGGTCTGACGTGTCTCACGTGTGTTACGTATGCGTCGTCGTATGCAATTGTTCCATGTTCGGTGAACCTGCACAACGACCGACCGCCGCAGGCAATAAATGGGCTCATGGCATGTAGAATATTATTCCTTAATGTAGAGTAGAGGTTCAATCAAGCGAAAGACAACGAGTGGCAGCAGGGGTGTAACGTGCGCAATGCGAAGAGGTAGAGGGAAGCAAGGATGGATGGATGGATGCATGTGTTCCGGAAAAAAACTGTTGTATTCATAGACAATGTACACAACAAGGAAACAAATGGGCTTATGGTAGAGTAGAATTCAGTTCAATCAAGAAAAACAGAACGGACGGCAGCAGGGATGTAATGTGCGCAATGCGAAGGGGGTAGGGGTATAATGCAGATAGAGGGAAGGAAGCGAGGATGGATGGATGTGTTCCGGAAAAAGTGATCTACATCTGTACTGCTGTAGTACAGATCGGGGAGTTGATTGTGGAGGCATCGATACGCTTCGGAATTCATGGCTGACGACCTTTGGGCATACCCAGCTGCTTGCTGCGTCAGTCACGTTTGGGTGTTCGACTGATTGATGTAGTCCATGTACGGACATGCCATCTTCACATTAAATGTTTCGTTGAAGTACATATGCAATTTAAATGTGCAGGCACACGACAAGCGTTGATTGCTCTGCTCTGCTGACAAAAACCGCTGTAGCACACAGCAGCTCAGTCCAGCTAGGGTCGTGATCCAGAACCCAACGACGGGCGCTAATCTGGTGAGAACGACATACATAGTTGATCCAGTTGCGTTGAACCGGCATTATCTTCTCTCTGCACATCATTTTATATTTCATCAACATGACCCATCGCATGCACACCACGTGATCGATCTTACCTGTTTCCGCCGACGGAGTACGCCGTGTATGCAGCGGCGAAGCCGGCATCGGTCTGGAGGTCCGCGCCCTCCTCGAGCTCCTGCATGTCGAGATCGAGCTCGGAGTGTTCCACGACGTCAGAGACGGGCGTGTATCCCGCTATGTCATCGTACGAGGCAACCGCCGCCCTTGTCACAGCAGCCAGGACGAGGAGCGCGCATCGGAGTTGAAACGGAGACGGTGACATGATTCACGCTCGCTCACGCTGTATCTTGGAGAAAAAAAGCAGCACCTCTTGTTACAACAGCAGCAGTAGACAACGTATACGGCAGAGCTCAATCGACCAGTGTTGGTGTACAGTAGGCGAGAGGGGTTAAAGGGACCGTGACAGAGTGTGTGCGGTGGGTGTGGACTAGCCTAGTTTGAAACGGCTGGTACTAGATTCGTACGGCGTGTGCCCGGCATCATGTGAAAGATCCACAAGATCGGAGGGCACGCGCCGTTCTTTTTCCTCCGAACACACGTCGGGCACGTCATCACAAGTAAGTCATCATATCACGAGGGAAGAATACTGATGTGTGTGTGCGTATAAACATGTTATAATTTGTCTTCAACTTTTTCTGCGAAACTACATCCGTTCGTCGTTCATGGACATACTGCTGTAGCGCGGATGATGCATGTATGCACAACTGCCCAGCAACAGTGTAACCGCGCGGGCAAACTGTAGCGGGATGGTGCGTGAGCGAAAGAAAGATGCATACAGAAGATGCACAGGGACCGTTTCCTGTCCCACGTGCGAAAGATCTGATCGATTCAACTGCCGCGTTTTTTTGAAAGTGCAGAGTTGAACTATGTACTGCTGTACTGCTGTTGTTGTACTGTCGCAGTACATCAACAGCAGCACCATCAGTACTGATCGGCAGCAGCAACAGGTCCGTGTCGGCATACAACCATTATTCCAAGAGTTCTCCACAGGGGAGAGACTGATTCACAGGTGACCTGTGACTGATGAGAAGAAGGCAGAGAGCACGGCACCAACCGCCGTGGGGGGGTAGACAACAGCTTGTGTGTCAGATTGTTGTGTGTCGTGTTTGTTGCCAAGGGCAGGTTCGAACGCTAGTTTTTACACCACAGTCACATATGCATACCGTGACACATACCTTTGTATGTACAACTAACTGCTGAATGTGGGTACTGGTTGTACATCTATCTGTACATCCAAACGTCCGGATAGACCTAAAGAGTCATCACGAACAGAGTAAAGAGAGACCTCAGAGCTGTGCTTTGTTTGGACTTTTCTAACGCACATACACACGCACATACATTAGACTAGGTTCCGAGGTATTATTCGCAGCGCAGAATGCACGCACAACGAACAATAATTCTTCCCCATAGAATCTCTTCCCCGCCCCTTTCCGTGATTTTTATTACCCGGTCACCGCACGCACGACTCTTTCTGGAACCTTGCTCGAGGCAACAAGCGAGGAGTAATCTTAATCTTTCTAGTTTCGCGAGGGTGACTTGACCTTGCATATTTCCGGCCAGAGAGCTTGCGCTTGGTGCTTCGTGCACATACATCGCCCGTCGAACTGCGCCGAAGCCACACACCCGCAGTAAGTAGAGGAATGACGGGCAGGGCAAGGAATTTGACTCATGGCTGGTGGTAACGTATCCAGTGGTAGCTTGGCTTCTCTGCCTTGAACACCCGCCTGCACCACACAGCGGGTTTGGTTACGAATTGGGGATGAGTGCCGCTGGTGGAAGTTATTTCGTCGCCGCTACTATGTACAAAAGTACGATACATGATACATGGACCACAATGGCTTGGAAATACTGCGGGATAGTTGTCAACAACACCAGTACACAGACTACAGCTTGGACAGCATTTCAGTTGGTGGCATTGACGCAGCTGCTTTGCTCTGCGGCGCAGACAACATACAGATGGCGCCCGCACTTAAGAACATCTTAATTTGCGTGAGGCTGGGGTTCTTAGTTGCCTGTTGAGGCTGCGAATGGCCATTATATAGGTTTTAGTGTGAGGTTCTTAACGGGGACCACTAAAATACGCTCATGTTCATGAGTTTTGGATTTTTTGAGCCTCATGTTCTTAACAGGTAGGTTCTTAAGTGCGGGCGCCATCTGTAACCATGTGACGAATTATCCACAACGACCGTTCGCGTGCTGCGGTACTGCGGTCCTGCGGCCAACACGAATTAACAATTGCGAGATAATACGGCAAGCCAGTCGCTTTTGACCAATCAAAACGCTCGTCGGGTCGGCATTTTTTTTTTAATCCCTGGGGAGGCAAGCCAATCAAACCTGGCGGAAATCCTGGAACCACCACTACCATGTGAACCGATCAAGCCCAGTGTACCTTCGCCCCCGTCTCGCACAACCTCGCCAGACACTCTTCCACAAGACACTCAGATCACAAAGAGGTATGGAGCACCGTTACGGAACATATTTTTGTACGCGCAGAAAGAGAGTTGTTGCGCTTGATTGATTGGGGAGCAGAGGTGTGTACCAGGGGGGATTCTTGAATTCCCGATTTTCGTCCTTCACAAGCGGTAGAACAAAGGTATGCATTCATAGATTATGTGATCTTCATCTCCTCTTGATATCTCTGGGTTGCCGAAACGGCCATCGAGCGCAACCCGGCCATGCACTCGGGGTGTGGATGCGCTCCAGTTTTGTACTAGACGATACTGCTCCATGGTTATCGCATGTATTTGGGGTTTCCTGATTTTGTTTTGTGGACCGGCAGCACCAGCTCTCTCGTGCGGTGTATTGAGTTGAGGTTGGGGCGGAGTATTCATGTCGAACAGCTGTCATCCCGGCTCACCGCGACTGGACTCCTAGCCTTCCTTCGCTTCGCTGTACACTGAACGTGTCTCGTTGCTACTACTGCAGCAGCTGCGATGTTCATGCTGTAGCAGCGCTTTTCTTTTTCGTGTCGCGAATCTCAGCGTACCACGCGTATACAGCCGAAAGCAACACATGTTCGCTCATGCTCACGGCTGAACACGCGTAATGTCCTCGTCAATGTGGGACCCAAGGTCCCAAGGCGGCTGTCGTTCTTTTCCACCCACACCAACGCTGCGCTTGGCCAGCGGCGAAACGGCAGAGGACGTTGATCAACTCTTGTACAGAAACCGAGACGCATTTGTTTTCTGCCACAAGCGGGGAAAAAACACAGGTAGCCGGGGCAGCTGCTGTGGAACTTCAACATGAAACTTTCGGCTGAATGGACACGTAGTGTCTTTGGCTTTTGCACGACAAAAACCATAACTTTCGCAGAGTATCTTAACAGCATGGTAGAGCATCACCGAAGCCTCGAAACCTCCTCTCCATCCCGTGCTGTTGGTATTGTACGTACTTGACTGAATGCATGTGAAAGCGGCTTTCGGCATCTCGGTCTTCCGCGTGTCATGAATGTTCGCCCGCCCTCGCGCCCCCCTCCCAGAAATCCGTACACCCCAGTGATACCATCACTGAGAGAAAGACTGCCCGTTCGAGATGATGCCCAAATCGAAGGCTTGTGTTGAAATATCTTCACAGCAGTATGAGAGTGTTGAAAACCCCTCCCCTTCCGCCCTCTCCTGCAATGAAACAACCCACCGCCGTTGCTGGCCCAACCAACGCGCCGGCTGCCACGTGCGATCCTTCTCCGATGTAGAAGCCTTCACCCAGAGACGACTATGGCTGAACCGGAGAAGAAGCACGTTGTCGAAGAGGCCGTCAAGGGAGAGGTGAGAGAAGAGTATTGCCGTGTACACAAGAGGTGGAGTTACCATTATCGATTAGACTAGATAGAGCAGCACGGGTTGGAATGACGCCAAGTAGGAATTAAGTAAGTCAAGAGTTTACTTGAAAATGTTACTTTGCTTGTGTGGAGACTCTGTATCCAGGGTTGAGGTACCCAGGGTTGAGACGTACGGCGTTGTCGTCGCGCAAAGAGTGGCTATACCCCGCGCCTACGACACGCGGTGCGCGGTGAAATATATTCGGCCTTGGTCCGAGAAAGGGTAATTTGTACTTGGGTTGCGGTCTTCTCCTCGGAGGGACACACCCACCATTGAAGATGAACGCGCTAGACTACTTGCTAGCTTGCGTTGCGGACTATTTTAGCGGAGGCTATTTGATGAATTATTAGTCTGCTGTGAACGTGCGTCTTTCTCGTCGGAGCTGGACCTCTCACCAGTTCCTTTCAGCTCGATACCGCCCAAAACCCACGTCTCGCTGAAGTTGATGTTTTCTTACGCACGCCCTCATGTACATATCTGGGTGTGGTGGGCCCATGTTCGATGTTGTTGGGTGCGGTCAATTCATTGCGGCGGGTCTTTTTCGCCCTTGTAGCTACAAAGTTGGGGTGGTCAGCCGGCTAGCGCGGGCGATCCACCTCAACAGAACACCTCATTCACACCATGCCTCCCTCTCGGCGGCTCCCTCGTCTCGAACGCGACCAGCACGAGAAGAAGAAGAAGGAGAAGAAGCACAAGGAGAAGAAGGAGAAGGACGGCAGCCGCGGGCTGTTCGCCGGGTCGGGCACGTCCTCGTCTTCCGAGTGCAGCTCGTCTTCAGACGAGGAGAGGTGGGTAGCACAGGGGGGTGTACGATTGTCTTCCCCGCCCCCCTATTCCTTTCTCCATGAAACAGGCTTGTTTCCCCTTTTCCTTTTCCAAGAACTGTGGCCATGCACAGTCGTGTTGTTTTTTGTCAAGGCTCCGGAGGCAAGAAACGAAGGAAGAGAGATGAGGCTCTCTACTAAAGTCTTGTGTGAAGTATCTTTTTGGAATATAAATCACACAACGGTTGTTCAGTCTCTTTATCGTTCGCTGATTTTCCAACAGTGAAGCCAAACCCCCTCCGTTTTCTGGGTGTGTTGAGACCAAGCAACCAGAACAGCATTGTTGCCTTTTCCATCGTTGGCGCGGCCTGTGGGAACAACCTAAACGCAGCGTACAACCTCGCCGCAAATCCGAACCCCCCAGAACAACCTCGTCGATCTTTACTGCATTTTTTTCTTCTTTTTTTTTTTGTTCTGGGTGTGCATCTCAATCTTGCGCCATTTTTTCATGGTAATTTCTTTTTTTTCGCAGGCGGCAGGCGAAGATCGCCCGCAAGAAGAAGAGGAGGGAAGAGAAGCTCGCCAAGAAGCAGCAGCACGAGCAGCAGCACGGCCACGGTGGTGCGCACGGGGAAGGCCACAAACCTGGTCACGTGAGTATACGTTCTCGCCCAGAGGAGCGATTTACCGAAGCCCGTGTTGTGATGTACCTGCAGCATTCTTCTCCCAAGAGGAGTTGCGTGAGCTCACCAGCGCTACGTAGTGTGCGTGGCATCGCGCCACGCACCGCTTCTACTCTAAATCACAACCGTGTTTTTCCAGACTTGCTGCAACTTTTGCGTGGTATCCTCAGGGCACATCCACCCAGCACCCATCTCTCTTGCCAAGCCCCCACTCCTCTTGCCCGTGTTTTTGTTTTTCGTCGCCCCCGCCCCCCAAAACTAGGGCGCTGACGCTCATGGCGGTGGCCATGGCCACGGTGCCCACGGTGAACACGGCGGTGCGCACGGCCACCCCGCGCCGCACGCTTAACCGTACCCTGCCCCCCGCCCTACATACGTACGGGGTAGCTTTGCATTAGAAATCGCCATGGTTTTGTCTCTCGGCGTTGAATGTTCAAAATCTCAATTTGGGGTCGAGAAACCGGTCCTGCAGTTCTCTTGAGTCTCCTGCGGGAGATTTCGTGGTCTGTGGGATATGTGTGATCAGTTCCTCTGCCGAGAACGAGGTGTGCGGGACGGAACCGGGTTTCGGGGCGTATGGAAGACGCCGAGCAGCTCGGTGTGTATTGTAAATCTGGTACGTGTTGTATGGGTTATGTAGAAACTTGGTTGTAGAAACAAGCGAGGGAGGACCTAGAAACCGCATCGAGGCAGCTTGGTTGTACATGGAGAGGAGAGAGAGGGGAGAGAGAGAGAGAGAGGGGGGGGGGTCAGTCACTGTCGTAGGTCAGGTGTGGCGTGTCTGGTTCGATGTGCGTTGACGTGTACAGGGTAGCGGACGATCTGGGTGGTTGTCCGTTGATGTTTCTTCTGCTGCGTGTGTTGATGTCTCGTGCCGTGGCCGTAAGATGTCGTTTGCGGATGGATCTCTCTTCCGTACAATGTTTTCGAACCAGACACGCACGCTCCGGCCTGCGCCTGAACAAAGCCATTTATTTCTCCTTTCTCCCAGCATTTGGTAGGAGT